GGTAAAAAGAGTAGCCCAAGAGTTGGCGGTGGGTGGTGATGACTAGCTGTCTTCCCTCTAGTCTTACACTGCTAAATTAGGGACGGCTAGCGCAGATAGCCCTCGTGTAGCTTTGGGCGAAATCCAAAAACAAACAAACAAACCTAGCTTTATACAAAATATTTTCTTGCTACTATATAAATTTTCAATGCACTATTGTGAAACACTGTTTTAAATATTCTCTATTACCATCTACAATATAGCCAAATTATTTTGTCGTCCTTTCACCTTCCTAGCCTGGACATAAGTTCGCACAGTCTAAATAATATTCACAGCTGGACATTGTGTATACCAAGCCGTGGTTGTAGTGTTCCACTAGCCTCTTTTTCATTTATATATCGTTCATCACATTTTTTTTTTGTATGCTTGTGATCATTCTCATACTGGAAGATGAGTTTGTGCTCCTGGTGGAACGGCATGATGAATCATAACCCGCATCTACATGTTAGCAGTCAGGTTGCCATCAATTTTATGCAGATCAACGATACCGTTAGCTGAGATGCAGCCCCAAACCTTTACTGATCTCCACCATTCTTCAATATCGATGTTGTGCATTCATTACTATTTTTCTCTCGGCCGTCAATTGTTGCCTAAAAATTCGGACTTGGATTCGTCTGTAAAAACTACACATCTCTAGCATTGTTCATTCCACTCTTTGTTGTCTGATGCTAATTTCAGCTTTTTTGGTTTGGTTACTTCTTTTCACGCCCATTGAGACCTTGAAATACTTAAGATCAATTTTGATGGTTTAGGTTTTCTACCTGGACCACTTCTACTATCAAAGTGTCAGTTTCATGTACCCTATACAAAGTTTTCCCATATAACTTCCACTGTAACATGAGTTTTTTCCGCAGTGTTTCGCATAAAGTAATATTTAATTACTGTTTTAGTATCATTACACAAACAACTATGGATATGACTAAATCATCTATATAAGATCTGTATAAGTTATCATTATAATTAAATTGTTTTCATTGTAGTTTCTAATTAATCAAGTATTTGGTACATGTGTATAATCGAAACATAGATATGTATATTTTTAATTGCAATTAGAATGACAAACTCAGGCATATATTAAAAATATATGGACACACACATGTGTATACATATGTATATATATAGATGTGAAGCTATTTTTCCAGCCCCTTTTTCAATCGATATTGTATTCTATGTTTCCAAAATTAATTAATTAAATTTTGTGATAAATTAGATATATTTCATACATATTTATTAGATTATATTTAAAGGATATACTTTTGAGTTGTCATATTAGATTGTGCTATAACAGTCTTGCTATGAATTCGATGATTTAATACTTTGTTGACAAGCAAGTAAAAAAAAATATCTTACTCGTTTCGTTATATGAACTTAATGGATATTCAAACACGCCTAGTGGTTGGCAAAAACGTTGCGATTAATGGTTATGAAAAACGAGGATAGCTTGTTATACGCTGACTAGATAGTTTTTTAATAGAATATGCGATTAAACTTCTATCTGAGTTTAATGATGTTCTTCATTGAGAAGCAGAAATAAAATTATCTTAATGAAGAATATTTTAATACCTACCCATTCATTAAGTTGAATAAAAAATGAAAACGTACTCAAGTTTTCTTTTGCAATTAAATTTCTCAGATGCGAGTGTTTCATCCGTTTCTTTGAAGTTGATAAAAAATAATTTACTGACTACAAAAAAAAAATCCGAATTATAAGTAACGTTTATTTAATTGGCTCTTTAAACTATCACTTAAAACCTAACAATATTACGAGATCGAGTCAACACAACATGGTTGAAAGTAATAATAGGTAGGCAAACAATGATTTAAAAACACAAGGAAGAGTTTTATTGATGATGGAACATACTACATGTTTAGACAGAACATTGGTCTGTCTTCTTCACATATGACCAATGTTGTGTCAAACATATATTATGTTCCATCATCAATAGCCTACCAGTGGCACAGCGGTATATCTGCGGACTTACAATGCTAGAATCCGGGTTTTGATACCCGTGGTGGGCAGAGCACAGATAGCCCATTGTGTAGTTTTGTGCTTAATTATAAACAAACCATCATCAATAAAACTCTTCCTTATGCTTATAAATCGCTGTTTGCTTACATATTATTATATTAGCAAAATGTGCTTCGTTACTTAAGTATGGTTAAAAGTTTTACAAAAATATAGTTCCTTTGAATAATATTGTTGTCCAGAATTATTTTAAACATTACTCTATCATTCAATAAGCACAGAACGTCTATTAAAGTATCATTTATTAACCATTTTCGTTATCTGCTCGAATTTATTAGCTAATTATCATGTATGGCAAAAGACTGTCAAAATACGAAATAAAAATAACCTGACTTTTTTGAGCTAATTTAGACACAAAAAAGGCCTGCACGAAAGGGGTTAAGTCATTTTGTAAAATATTCAGTAACAAATTACACCTATCAAAATCCATTGTTTCCTATCTATATTTTTGTGTAAACGCATTATTAAGGTATGAATAGGGCAGTATTTCTGCCTTCGTTTACTGCAATATAGTTCCAAATATACAAATCTCTATAAAACAAGCTGCCTTGCAGCGAAAGAAAATTGTACCTCAAACTGAGATGTGTAGGCATTTAAGTTCCATAAACATTCAATTAAATTCATACGATAAACCAGTTAACCTGTTAAATGTCTAATGAATAAACCTAATATAATTTCCAATTTTAAAAGTTTTTCACTGAAATGAAATAGTTCTAAATATATGTTCACGTGATTATCAACGCTTTAATAAAAGCTGAGGTTTAATAAAAATGGTTTTCTCTTTCGAGTTATGTCGAGTAGACTGGCCAAAGAACAATTCCATCGTCGTGAAAGCCTTACTAACCAAACACTCCAGAATATCATCGTTTCAGATCAGTAACGGTTTCCTTTCTTTATTTTGGTCTATATATTTTATATTCAAGTCTGTATTTCTAAGTTTTCTTATAAAATGCAATATTTCAAAAGTTAGATGAAAAGTTTCGATCCAGTGTGACCGATTCTGTTAGTGGATCACATCTAGTGATGTTATCCTTAGGCCTGCGTGCTTTAGCAGACGAACATGTGTGTCCGTTGCTTCAAATAACCTTTTTGACATTGAAAGGAGGTCACCCGATTACTGTTCGCACATGTATATTTTTTTAACCAAAACAATACTTGAATCCAAGCAATATGTATGAAGCTTCGTGAAGGTTATGAAGACAAAATAAAAAAAAGATAAGCATACATTATATATTTATAGATATACGTGAATTGTTTGAAGTATTTGAATTATATTCGAAAGTGTGTCTAATTTCAATATAATACGAACACTTGAAGTGGATTAAAGACTTAACCGTTTCTGAGACTGCCATATATTATATAGAATAAAATATAAGAATGGTAGAAAGTTATACAGCTAGTTTCGAAAACAAATACTTACGAGGCTCTTTGATGACCGGTAATAACAAGCCGTTATTCAGGGGTTCTGAAAAAAAACGTATCAGATGAAAAAAGATTCCTTTGAAGATTGTATATAAAAAGGCATAAATAAACTGTTTAATAATAAAAATAGTTAGGCAGGTTTACAGAGCTGGATAGAAGGACCGAGGGATATAAATAGAAAATGATCCTTCTTATTTTTAATTCAACTTCTGCGCATTATTGAACGCTACCTAGTGGATAGAATGTTATGTTCCTTTTACTTACACTAGCCATTAAGGAAGCAAAGGTTATATAAAGAACAATGTTAAATAATGTCCCACTTCCTTCTTTCTAATGGCCTCATTAGATTGTATACTAATTGTATACCCTGCTTTGTGGAATGTAATAACTGACTCTTTTAACTGATTAAGTACTTGTGTTTTTAAATTCAAAACCAAAAGCCCATAAAACGTGGAAATATTCCTTGTTTTTATTCCTATTCTGAAGTAAAAATCCTAAAACAAAATATCCTTTCTATACCGTCGGGCAGTTTTCAGTTACCATATCACGAATTACAGTTATTCAGTCACAGCTAATTCTGAGTGAGGGATGCTAACAAACAAAGAAACAGACACACACACACAATGGATCGTATTCATAGTAATAATTAAACATACAGAAAGAAGAGCCTGTTTGTTTGTGTAAACAAATGTGAAAACTAATTGGTTGTGATATTAATAAATTAAAGGATAAGGTAACAAATTATGTAACAATTAACAAACTTGTAAACGAATAAGCAAAATAAAATGAGAAATAATTAAAAATGAAAAATTATGATTCGTTTAATTAACAAAAGAAGAACAAATAAAAGAATGAGGAAGAAGGGGTTTCATCATCACCTTCATCTGGATTCGGTTTATGTGTGTGTGTTTTAGGGTTTGGGTTTGTTTTGAATTTCGCGAAAAGCTACACGAGGGCTATCTGTGCTAGGCGTCTCTAATTTAGCAGTGAAAGACCGTGAAAGAATCTATAGCCTTAGCATATATCTGCGGACTTACAACGCTAGAAAACGGGCGGGCAGAGCACAGATAGCTCATTGTGCATCTTTGTGCTTAACTACAAGCAAGCAAACCTTAGCATACTGATTAAGTTGGTAAGTTAATCGTTAATGTGGTAATTGTTTGAGTTGTTCTTACCTGTTGATGGGAGGTTGAGTCCTAAGTTAATATTCTCTTCATTAAACTGGAAAGACGCTTTGAATCCTTGACCGGGAAAGTGACTCTGGCTATAGAATTCAATGTATAAATCAGGACCAGTAGAGAAAAATTCCACGAAATCATGGTAGTTACATAGTTGTCCAATTAAGGAGCTACGAGCATCCTTCCCGTCATGCACTTTGATTTTGTCTACACTATATAGACAGCTGTAGAAGTAGGCTTATCAATTAGATTTTTATTAAATAAACAAATTGCTCAAGAATAAAACTAAATACCTAAAACTTCAATAAATAATTAAAATCAACGTTTTATATTTAAACAGTTTTAAAAACTTTACTGAAACCATTAACGGCTTCCACGTGTACATTCTTTCGACGTCGTCTTCCAAACTGTGTGAATATTAAACGTCGACTTTAATTATTTATTAAATTTTTAATAATACACAAGCGCTGATCATCATTCATATTTACTCAATACCTTGTTTTAGCCTTATATCTTTCATCTCTGAAGGTTTCCTTTATGGTACAAGAACATACTTACGATTAATTACTAAAATCTCCTAACGACCAAGACCCAGATTTAGTTGTGTTATATTCCTTCAGGGGGGATTACCCTTTATAGAGAATATTAGTAGGGCGAATACATAAGAAAACCCACAAACGAAAAAGAAGGTCGCAAGAAAATCAAATGGTATGAAATAAAATAATTTCACGTTGTGTTGCATTCTGATCTATTGATCACAATAATAATTAGAGTGAAAAAAAAAGATGTTGGCGTTATTACGTATGAAACATAGCGTCATGCAGTGTTGTTTCAAAGTTGCTTTCGGCAACATACCGTCTTAGGACTTAGCTATTACCTAAAGCAACTTGGAAGTTGTGTAGTTTTAAGAATTGTTTTTATCTTGTAGTTTCAAACTGCAACTAAATAGTTAGAAAGTGATTTGAGGTTAAATTAATTTCAATCTAGTTTAAACTGTTTTTTTTTCACCAACAAAGATCTATAAAAAAAGTAGTACCAACCTATTTTCAACCCCCTTTTTTTAATGAGAATTCTTCCTTGAGGGTATAGCCATCTGGTGAGTATTAAGTAACCCCATCCCCCCATTAAGAGACCCAGTCGTTTGCGAGTAGCTTAATTACCCTTAAGTTTAATGCATTACTTAGCAGAGACTTAGATAAACGAAGTCGCATAGTGAGTCGTGAATAAAACATAGCAAGGACCTATCCGGATAATAGAGCTTTGAAAAATGTAATATAACATTGTATTTTTCTTTAAAAATAACTAAATATGCATCAAAACAAAAAAGGTGAGCGATCGATCATGAGCTTAAGTATGTCTAGAATATCAAATAAAAAACAGGCTGAAAATTTCATGTCTGTTTCTAGTTAAGCACAAAGCTATCTGTGCTTTGCCCACTACGGGTATCGAAACCCGATTTCTAGCGTTGTACGTCCACAGACATACCGCTGTGCCACTGGGGCGCAATTAGATATCAAGTGAGATAGTAAGGCAAATAATGTTTGTTTGAATAGCATGATGTAGTTCTTTGGATTTATTTTGAATTTCGCGCAAAGCTACACGAGGACTATCTGCGCTAGCCATCCATAATTTAGCAATGATACATTAGATGGAAGACAGCTAGTCAACACCATCCACTCCCAACTCTTGGGCTACTCTTTTACCAACATATAGTGGTATTGACTCTCACTTTATAACGCCCTCACTGCTGAAAGGGCGAGCATGTTCGGTGTGACGAGGATTCGAACCCGCGGCCCACAGACTGCGAGTCGAGTGCTCTAACACTAGGCCATGCCATGCCCAATATAGTTAAGCAATAACCATTGAGCCATATAAGCTCAAAGAAGAAAGAACACTTGGAAAGATGACCTTTAGTAACAAAATACTATTTAGTGTATGAATAATTCACTCATTTCGTTAATATAAATCAGTGTTCCTACGCAAATATTTAATGATCACTGTTTTGTTGGAAGATCAATATTTCTATAAACGTCACAAGTTATAATAACAGTGAATATTGTGAATTCGTCGTTTTGACAGTTATTGATCAGTTATTTTTCTCACAAACACGGCCAGATGTTAAACACTTTCAGTTGAATATTGTATAACTAGCCTCCTAGTGGCACAGCGGCATGTCTTCGGACTTAAAACGCTAGAAACTGGGTTTCAATATCCGTGGTGGGCAGAGCAGAGATAGCTATAACTATTTATTTAAATAATAATAATAATATAATCGATATGGAAGCAAATAAAATGCATGGAATCGAAAGGAAAAGTAATAGTTGACAAATATAAAATTATAAGATATAACGTAATGATGTAATGGTCACCCTATAGACGTTATAGTAATAGAGTTATCAAAACGCTTCTCAAAAATGCAGTGGTAAATGACTGAGATATATTGTTAGATAAATGTTGTACTGGAGAAAGATGTTCATGATCCATAGACAACTCTCTCCAGATGAACAAGTATTTAGAAATGTCTCAATCACTTTTATTAATTATATACAGCTCTCTTTAGCCAAACATGTCTCTAAAACAATCTCTCAGTCATTTATACCATACACAACTCTCTCCAGCCCAACGTGTATCTAAAAATATATCAGTCACTGTTATTAATTATAGACAGCTCTATTCAGCCCAACATGTCTGTAAAAGTCTCTCAGTCACTTTTATTTCATAGACAACTCTCTCCAGATGAACAAGTATTTAGAAATGTCTCAATCACTTTTATTAATTATATACAGCTCTCTTTAGCCAAACATGTCTCTAAAACAATCTCTCAGTCATTTATAATGAATATACATATGACTGAGACTTTTTCGGTACATTTTGGGCTAGAGACAGTCGTTTATAATGAATGAAATTAGTGCCATGAAATATCTCTAACAAATATCGATTGAAAAAGGAGTCATGAGTATTCTCCTATGTTTCATTAGCTCAATGCTCGAATCCTTTCCAATAAACTGAATGTATGTATGAATATCTGTATAAATATAGATGAGTCAGCGTGGTTTCACGCTTTGGACTCGTAGTTGGATAGTTACGTTATGATATTGTATGCCCAAATGTCTTGTAAAGGATCGGCAAGAATTTAACTCATATATATATGTATGTATATGTTTGTGAAGATAGCATAATAGTTATATTGATTTTAATTACTAGAAGACAGAGAGCGTAATCTAATGACGTAGGAAAGGTATCTATGGATCTCCTTCGCTACTGGCCCCTAATTTCGTAGATACTATTATTACCAGAGTACATTTTGTCATTCCTACATGGTGTTTTGTATGTACGGCACGCCCCCTAGTGGCACATCGGTATGTCTGCGGACTTACAACGCCAGAAACCGGGTTTCTATACACATGGTGGGTAGAGCACAAATAGTCCATTGTGTAGCTTTGTGCTTAACTACAAAAAAACGCACAGCACTTTCTTTTGAAACCTAATTGTTTGCAGTTATGTTTACACACACACACACACACACCTAAATGACTTAGGTACTCTCGCCTCCTTACTTTGTTCTCCCTCGGAAAGCTAAATGTTCTAGTGAAAAAATAAGTTATTAAGCCTACCTCATGTCTCCTTGTTGAAGTCGAACTTTTTCGAAATTAACTGTGACTTTCTCGTTATATTTTCCCATGAAGTGGTACGCACATCTAACATTATGTGGATAAGTACTAGGATACAGAGGAGAAAAGAAATATCCTTTACTTTGGGATTTATTGCCCCTGAAGAACTGGTAGTCACAGTTAGTACCGAAGAGTGGCTCTCCATCAATCAAAAACAAACCTAGAACAAGAAAGGGAGATAGTAACACTTGTAAGAACTGAATTAGATAATCCTTTCTTTGTTGAACATTGTGAGGATATCAACAAGATTAGAAAATTTTACTAACTCATCTGTTGAAGATCATTTAAACTACGGATTAGGAACACAAATAGACAAATACAGTCTTTGCCAAAATGTTTGCATGTTTTGTAACAAATAAGATCATTATTATTAAGATGGAATGTAAATACATTTATCGCTGTCAAACTGAGAAATGCATGTTATATTAAACATCTACGTTTGTAATTTGTATAATGAGACAAGTTCTATGGAAAACATGAACGATTTATTAGAATGGCAAACAATTTTATCAGACACCTGTAGAAAGATGTGTAATTCAACATTTCAAATATCACAACGAAACTTTACTAAAACATACATAATGACAAAATATAGCATCAGATTATTATAAATAGCGTTTGTAACCTTATATTGGTTCATATTAAACATTCGGAACTTGGTTGGTCCTTCTCGTACTCTAATAACCTCTGCAAGGCGACGTAGTATGCTGTCGATGAGGTTATTAATGTAAACCACCGTGATTTCATCCCAACTTGTCGCTAGAAGGCGCTGCAACTTAGCTACAGTAGCTAGTTTAGGGTCGTGGTTAGCAATTTTCTGACTCCGTTCTGCTCAACAGTTCTCAATGGGATTAGAATCTGTAAACTATGCTGTCAGTGACAGCCTTGTAATGTCCTCCTGGTCGAGATAATTATGTCCATTACATGCATTGTGGTCAGTGGTATTTTCGTCATAGAATACAAAGTTATTACAAAACCTTGACCTAGCATATGGCAGAAATATCGTCTTCAAGTGGTGTCTGTAGGAGACGCCATTGACGTTTCCTTGGAGGATATGAAGAGCAGTTTTCCATCATGATAATTAACTGCCCAAATATGTACTGCACCACCTCCTGTGTGTGTCCCCTGTGGGACAGACAGCCTTCCCTCGTCAAACACAAACGACAAATACAAATCCTACCACGAGTTTTAACAAGCCGGAAACAGGACTCATCTGAAAAGATGACATGTCACCAGTGTTTTAACTGTAAGTTGACATGCTGTCTTGCTTAAGTAACACAGTGACGGCGGTGAATTCTGGTTAATATCGGTTTGAAGATAGCCCTTCTTGCAAAATAACATTGTTTGGTCAGTCTCATATTCACTGTTCTTCTGGATGCCCTGAAATGAATGTGTTCATGATCTTAAGGTGTTGCAAGAGTTCTTTCGACTTTGACGTGTTAACCTGATCAAAACACGGTCATCTGGTCATCTCGGGCAGTAGTTGTTTGGTGTCTACCAATAGACTTTCCTGGAACAACATTTTCTGTAGTTCAATAACATTTAAGGATTCTGGATACAGTACACTTGGGGTACCCTACTGTTCTGGCAATGTCCGTTTGCTTCACATCATAATAACTTCTGTCATTTGACGAAGCATGACTCTATACCAAATACAGAGAAATTGTTTGAATAAGCATTGATCTGTTTCGAAAACGATTAAACCAAAAGCACACCATTTTATACAGAACAGGTGTGTGTGTGTGTTATTTTTTGACGAACAAACGATCAAAACAACTTATACAAACTAGAATATCAACTTGTACATGTTTGTCTGATCATACACTACCTTCTCTGTTACTACTCGGGCATTTACTCAATAACTACTCCATACAGGTAGACAACAACATCAATATAGAACAGTATGTAAACATTTTGGCTAAGGCTGTTTATGCATGGATGGATAAGTGAAATGAATAGATAGAGAATGATGTGTGTATATAAGTAGTCGAGAAAAAAAAATCCTTCGTTATCCATCAGATTGTTTTATGTTGGATATGCTAGCTATTGAGAAAACCAACAAAATTAGTCTGTCATTAAAAGTTTTTGAAATCAGACGAGTACTGAGAAAGTGATAATTTATCGTTAGGGTCATTAACTTCTTCGAAAGTGGTTTTCACTTTAATTTTTTATTTTTGGGTTGGTTTTCTAATGTAACGGGCTGCGCTAAAAAAAGGTTTTTCACCTAATGATTGACGGTTCGTAGTTTTTGTTAGAAAACAATAACTTAACGAGATCTGGAGGTTGCAGTATAGAAAGAATTGTCAACAACGATTGATAGATTATTATCGATTCGGTATAGAGTTCTTAATCAACCTTTTGTCCTTCAAACAGCAAGTGTTATATGAATTTCACACTTCAACCATTGAAGAATCCTCAATAACCTATACATTTAAACCTCACCGCAAAATATTATATAAGTATACAATTTATAGTATATATATACATATAAGAAAAATTCCAAAACTTTTTAAAAATCATCGCACTTTCAAGCCGAAATACAAACGTCATGACGGAGATTACGTGTGGTAATAGCACCCAAAAACTTTGGGGATATTCCATCTATCAGACAAAATCCAAAAAGCAGATGAGAAACCAGTTAGCAGTCATGGAAGATTAATTAAGGGTGCAGAGTTGAGTGCTTATACACACAACGTCTCAATTCTTACTGCCTTTCACTGTCTGCAGCCAGATGTGGGAAGGCAGTAACCCTTAAAAAGATGTATTAAAGTCAAAAGTAGAAATACAATAAAGCCACCCCAAAAATATTTCTACTAAACATTACCTACCATTCTTCGTCCTTAAAAGTTTTAAAATTTCCTAAAGTAGAATAATAACCACACTAATAAGTATATGTTTCAGAGGTTGAATTACTATTAGCAGCCGTTTTTAATATTATGACAGTGAAGTTTTTGGTCTACATTCTGATATTCACTCTCATTTGTGTTGGTTAACAGTACAAAAGCAATTAAGTAAATTTAAAAACGTTTACTATATGTAATGGTCCAAACGTGTCTGATTTACCTGACGTTTAATGTCTACTTTTGATTACCAGTAAAATTAAACACGTAAGTCGAACGTGGTATGTCTCAGTTAGACGTACCTTGGAAGATATCGTTATAAATACGTGCATGAAATGATGTGGTTCACGTATTTTTAAAGACTCGTCACTGTATTAAAAAAAAAAATCTGGTGCACTATTATGTTCAAACTACCGGTTTTATTAAATTTTCATAATTATAGAGTTGCTCATATCTATGCAAAATATGACATAATAAAAATCTTGGCTGCTTATCGAACCAGTATTAATGAGGTGGAAACTACATATGTACACCTACTTCTGTTTAGAAAGCGGTAGGTTCCTCTGAATCCAGTATTGTTTCCTAGTCTCCAGTCTGTGTGGAATTCGAATATAAGAGCAGGACCGGAGGAATAGTGCGTCTGATCAATATCTCCTATCTTCCCACACAGTATTGTATTTTCTAGAGTTTTTTGATCTACTGCCGCCTCTTCTAAATGAAGAAATAACATCACGTAATCTCCCAGACGGCACCTGTGGTTCAAATCAAATGAATCCATTAAAAGTTGTTTGAAGAATCAAATGAAAAGAAAATCAAACTCATATAGGTTGCTTAGCTGATAATTACATTATACGAGAGTAAGTTTGGGGATAATGAAAAATCGTTAATTATATTTGTACTTTGGAAAAACGCTGTATTTTGAATTATGTTGGTAGGTTTAACACCCCAAGTCATAGATGGTGTGAATATTCAAAAAATCATTATCTGGCTCTTGATGATTTTGATTTTAAGTATCTGATGAGGTTATCTGTCGCTTAAGGACTAATTGATTAAGTTTTGATGGCGTTCCAGTACAGTACGTCCTAACGATATTAAAAGTATACGTCAATGGAAAAGAAAGGAATATCGATATGCAATAATATTATTGGTTAGAATACGGGGTTCGCAAAAAGAACTATAGGGATTTAAACTGCAGTTATCGACAACAAAATTTGTTAATATAATTTTTAGTTTATCATTTCCGAAACTGTAACTCAATGATATTTCTTGTAAGTATGAAAAATAACATCCGGAAAATGTCCACTACGAACTGCTACACATTGGCGTGTACTAAGGATGACATTTTTAATTGCATAGGTCAAAGTTTCACGCGTGTAAGACCATTAATTTTTGTCTTTCAAATCCTGTAGTGTCCGTGGCTTGTTGTTATACACTCTTTTCTATAATCCCATAAAAAGAAGTCCGCTGCTGACAACCCGGGCATCATGGAGGCCAGTTTGTGTCTCTATTACGAGAAACTACCCTGTTTGGAAACAGTTCACGTAATACTGTCATTGCTGCATGTGCTGTATGACAGGTGGCTCCATCTTGTTTAAACCTCAATTCCTGTTGATGACATGTTCAGAAGGAGCAACCTAAACAACAAGTTCTCGACGGTATGCTCTTTGAGCAACAATAATGGAGCATTCATTCTTGAAATAAAGCTCAACAACATGAGTACGCTGTTGGATTTCCCACCTGTTCATCCTGTAAATTCGAACCCTTAATCTTTATTCAGAAAAACACAAGCAACGTTTGTCATTAATACTTTAAACAATCTAACTATATCAAATCCCTACATTTCTTTTCTATACACTGTTGACCAAGGAAAGAGAAAACAGTTAAACTACTGATGCTATTCAATAGAAGATCCGCCATTACCACATTTCAAGTTGTGACTGGGAGTGAAAAGAAGATAATCTCCATACACTGTTGACCAAGGAAAGAGAAAACCGTTAAACTACTGATGCTATTCAATAGAGAGTCCGCCATTACCACATTTCAAGTTGTGACTGGGAGTGAAAAGAAGATAATCTCCATACACTGTTGATTGAGGTAAAAGTAAACGTTAAACTCTTGATGCTATTCAAATACAGAGCTCGCCATTACTAGGTTTCAAGTTGTGACTGGGGGTGAAAGGAAGATAATATCCATACACTGTTGACTAAGGTAAAAGAAAAACATTAAAATCCTAATGATATTCAAATACAGGGTCCGTCAAGATTATCTTCTTTTCACTCCCAGTCACAACTTGAAATGTGGTAATGGCGGACCCTCTATTGAATAGCGTAAGGAGTTTAACGGTTTTCTCCTACCGTGGTCAACAGTGTATCGAGATTATCTTATTTTCACTCCCAGTCACAACTTGAAATGTGGTAATGGCGGACGCTCTATCGAATAGCGTTAGGAGTTTAACGGTTTTCTCCTACCGTGGTCAACAGTGTATCGAGATTATCTTCTTTTCACCTCCCAGTCAC